AGAATCTTTAAGCCTTCTCTCTTGTGATAGTAATTTCTCCAAATACCGACAGTGCCACGTAAGTACAGCCAGGGCTCATTAAATAGATTTCTGAGCATAATTATAATTAACCATTAGCTAGAAATTAGTTTTAATGATTTGTTTTAGATGACAGAATAGAAGCATAATGTAATTATTTTTAAACCTTCTATATCATTAAGAATACAACTACCACCAGCTTTCAATTACTGCGAAGCAATCACCCAAAGCATTCACTAAGTGATCTATTTACAGATCCGAAATAGGGGAGCAGAGGAAAAAGGCCAGGGGCCCCAACCCAGGTGTTTGTAATTATTTAGCCTTTTGCAAAGTCTCTTCCTTTTCTACTCTGCTCTTTTAAGCTGTTTCATGCCTTGAAGACAATCTCTACCAGGGAAAATAGAGAAAGACACACTGGCTGCTCAGCTTTCCCCCTCCTCCTGCCCCCTGCTTTTCTCGGAGTCATAGTGAGGATCACGGCGGGAGCGGGGAAAGGCCTGGAGGAAGATCCTACAAAATTTAGCAAGTGGGTCTGAAACTGTCCAAATCGAACTGGACTAACAGGAAAGAAGATTATATCAGTAATAGGTAACATGAGTATTAGGAATAGACTCCAGACTTTAAAGATAGAACTCTACCATTCTTTCCCTGTACCGTGTTCTTCTAATATCCCAAAGTCAGTTTAGATCTTAAGAATTAAAAAAAAAATACTATGGAAACCTGAAGAAATGCTCTTTCATTTCCTGAAAAATATAAAAATATTCATTTAGAACAGTGAATATTAGTTATTGTCAAATTTCATTGTTTCTTCATTTTCTTTCTCTTTTTTTCCTTTTAAAAACAAAATCTCAGCTAGTTAGGGTGCTGTTTGCTCTCCCACCTTTGAACAAGAATGTTAGACCTTTTGCTGCTGACCTTCGGAAGTTGTCAGGGAACACACCCTGACACCCACGTAAAAGACCTGGTACCTGTGTTTCCACATCACAAAGCAGGCCAACAAGCACACAAGGCCGCAGACCAAGTTCAGAATCATCTGGATGAGTAAGAACAGCTTGAAAGTGCCAGTGATGCTGGTACAGTCAGTCACATCCCGGTACACAAAGGTCCTGCTGAGGGGCTCGGAGGAGGGCAGTTTGCACTGGCAGGAGTCGAGCGTGGTTCCACAGGTAAGCTGTGTGAGTTGTGCATAGTGGTGAGCGGCGAACGCCACGGCCAGCACACAGACCGTCAGGCCAAGGGCACTCAGCAGAAAGTACAAGAGCTGCAAGAAAGCAGAAGAAAACCTTTCCAGTTATAGAGAACGTTGGATGACTATTGGCAAAGCTAATAAAGAAAAGCTCTTCTTCTTCTCTCCCAAGATTCCTTCTCTCCCTCCATTCCCTGATGGAGGGCCTGTCTCTCCTCAGAAACATGGTACCCAAGACATGGCAACGGCTCGTTATGGACTGTTAGTGAGCAGTCTGATCACAATCTGAAAAACTCTGATCGTATTTTCATTTGTCGTACAGATGTCGGGTGTTTTTCATGAATTGAGCCAATAATATTAGCTTGATTTGGGGATGTTTGTATATGGATGTAGCAGGCAGCTTAGATGACTCCCAAACACAAGAGCCATCCCTGAAAGGCATACTGTGCTTGTTTTGACCTTAACAACTGCTGCTATAAAGACTGAAACAAGACTAGGAAGTAGAGAACAAATTTCTTCAATGTAAACACTGTGTTGGCCAAAATTGGCAATGATTGGTCAACTAGCAACATGGGTTAATGAAAAAGACTATATTCAATGGAGTGGTTGCCAAACTATGTCCAGGAAGGCCAGGATCCCCAGTGAGAGGTTGCTGGGGGAAAAAAAAATTATGGTTCCAGAAGGTGGGTGACTTGATCACCTACAAGTCTCATCCCAAGTCCACCTATAACCATGTAGTTTCTGAGCATAAAAATAAACTGTAAGTGGTCCCTCAGCCACCAAAGTTCTGAACACCATTGGCTTACGTGTTAGCCTTGGAATGGAAAAGTCTGGTTAACGTTCTAACTCTGCTACTAAAGAACCATGGAATCCCTGAACAGCTCAGACATTTACCCTACACCTGAAATTTTTTTTTTTTTTTACGGTACGTGGGCCTCTCACTGTTGTGGCCTCTCCCGTTGCAGAGCACAGGCTCCGGACGCTCAGGCTCAGCAGCCATGGCTCACGGGCCCAGCCGCTCCACGGCATGTGGGATCTTCCCGGACCGGGGCACGAACCCGTGTCCCCTGAGTCGGCAGGCAGACTCTCAACCACTGCACCGCCAGGGAAGCCCCCCACCTGAAATATTTTGATCAAAAATTGTGGGTGCTTGTTGACGTGGCCACAATATAAACCATTTTACAGAACAAGAAATCTTGTGATTGGACTTCCCTACTGAAAACCTTGCTCTTAATGGCCCAACCTACTGAGGATCTAGATAAGGAACAGAGTCCGCAGCTGTTGGGAATGGTGTACTGAACCCAGTTCTTAGTGCAAGATTTACATTCCCATAGTCAAAAGTTGCTCATAGAGCAATTCTGCTGCATGTGAACTCCTCAAAGGAAGATTAGTCACGTCCAAGTTCAGATGAAAGTTGCTCTGAAAAGATTATACCCTCCGCCTGCCTCCAACTAATTGCAACTCAAAATAAAAACATGTATGCAAGATTATAAAATATGTGTGCATAAGTCCTCCAGATGAGTGATTTTGCACACAGGGACAATTTCAAATGTTTTCAAGTCTTAAGTACAGAATACTTAAAATTTTATTTTTTCTGTCTTGACTGGTGTGTGTGTGTGTGTGTTGGTGCCCTGAGCATGTGTCTGGTTTGCTTGGAAGCTTCACTGCGGACACAGGAAGAGAGTGGACCTGGTTAAAGCCGTTTCATCTTCCTATGGCTGCACGAGCAAAGAGTGCAGAGGTTCTTCGGATCTTCTCATCAAAAATATCTTACACACACACTCTCTTTTTCATTTTCAAATCATACGAAGGACTGTCAAATACAACCCACATTTCTTCATCTGTGAAACAGTTTATGGAAACATCTATCTCAGGGACATAACAAGGATAACTTATACTGAACACGTTTAGCCTCCCTTGGAGGAAAGGAACCAGAAAAACACACAGTGAAACAAACCATTTGAAAAATTTAAGAGGAAATATTTAATCTGTGCTATTGAATGCATCACCTTGGTCCTGCCTGTCGCCAAATTTTCAGTGGCCATATTTTCTGCAAAAAAAAAAAGTAGTTCTTGGGCTAAAAAAGTATGGATTTATTTTGTGGGGCCACTGGGACAGAATATTTGAATTATTCTGGGTTGTTTTGAAATATTCAGGCTTGACGACTGACTTCAAACTCTTGATGCCAAGGGCCAAATTAAATTGTGCTGGCCGTGTCGTGCGTGCCTGCCCATGACAGCTGCATTTCCAGTGCCTGCGACATGAGTGACTATACCAGCAGGGAGGGCCCAAATTAAGGGATGACATTTCACCTGAGAGTCATCTGCTTAGCAGAATGGCCCCAGTTGGAGTTTTCTTCATACACTTTATTGCCATCAGTGGATGGGGCTACGGAGGTCCTGTCATAACTCTCTCCCACACATTCATCCTTAGAGAATTTCTATAACATCCGCTGGGGCATTATCTTGAAACAATGACAATAATCCCTAATTCTCGATCTGTAAATTATTCAAATAGCTGCAAAAAATATTCTCTCATAACCATCACAAAAATCCGTTTGCTGAAATGAGAGTTTTCCTCTTCTTTTTTTTTTTTTTGCGGTACGCGGGCCTCTCACTGTTGTGGCCTCTCCCGTTGCAGAGCAAAGGCTCCAGACGCGCAGGCTCAGCGGCCATGGCTCACGGGCCCAGCCACTCCGCGGTATATCGGATCTTCCCGGACCGGGACACGAACCCGCGTCCCCTGCATCGGCAGGCGGACTCTCAACCACTGCGTCACCAGGGAAGCCCCTGTCTCTTTGTAAAAGATAACTTTTGGGCCCAAAGAGCAAAAGATTTGCCCAAGACTTTTACCAAGTACACAGCAGTGCCTGGTGATGGTTACAGGCATGGACTGGGGAGCAGACAGCCTGAGTTAGAATCCCGGTTCTCCCCTCCATAACTATGAACCTTGGGCAAATTAAATCAATGCCATGGGTACCTTTGTTTCTTCATCTAGCACCTAAGTCACAAGATTACTCTAAGGATCAAAATAATTGATACTGGGCTTTCCTGGTTTAAATATTTAAGTATTCTTGAAATGAACACATTAGCAGACCTGGAAAGAGCTGCCAGTTCTCAGGACTTTTAGGATATCAACCCTATACTGGCTTTGTGTTATTCTATGTCACGTGAGAGTAACAACACATCCTTGGCCTGTAGAAAGGGCGTGAACATTTACACAAGCACAGAGGCTGCTCAATTTTAATTGAGCATATTAAATATTCTAGAAGCCTCAAGAGCGCAAACAAAAGCCATGCCCCTCAGCTCCTTTAAATATGAATACATTTTCATTGGTGCATTAGCTCACACATTGTGATTCTGCCTCTCCCACTGCAGGAAAGCATCGGGCCAAGTAAGCAAGAGTGAGCCACAGAATCAAGTTTCTTATCCATTTCAAGACATAAATATAGACTTGATCGGCCAAAGCCTGTGGGCTACATCTGCAGCGCTGTAGCATTTTTTCCTTCGCGGCTTTTAACTCAGCTGACAGCAACAAGCTTCTGGGTCAGAATCTGTAATTTAAAATCAAGTGGCTCGCGTTACGTACACGGCACGCATAACTATCAATAAGAGTGTTTACGATGACCTTGGGAAGGCCAGCAAATATATTTTGATACCAGCGGGGCTCGGGACGCATCTGTCTTGCCTGTGTCAGTCCGGGCGGCCGGCACTGCGCAGCGGGCGGAGGCGGGCGGAGGCGGGCGCCCCCGGCGCTTATGTAACCACAGCGCCCGGGGGCGCGCCCCGCGCTCGCCGCCTCTAATTGGTACCCGGCCGCCGCTTCAAAGTTCAGAGGCTATTGCGACTGCAATGCCCTCGTGGGGAATGTGCCCCGGAGTGTTTTTGCACGCACACGAACCAGACACGTTTCTGAACATCATCAAGGTGAGCCCCGAGAAAACAGAGGATAGGCAGGAGGCCCAATCAGCGGCCGGATGGCCCGCCGAGCCCAGGAGCAGAACTCGGGAGCAGGGCCCGGGGAGAAAGATGGAAGGCGCCGGCGGCTTACAGGGCTTGCCAAAGGGCCGCCAGAGAAGACTGTGCTAGCTTGAGATGAAAAGACAAGCCCCCGTGGCCACTGTCTGTAAGGAAAAGGGAAGTGTGTGGGGCGTGTGTGTGTGTGTGTGTGTGTGTGTGTGTGTGTGTGGACGCGCGCGCACGCTAGCACAGGCGGCAGTAAAGCGCTGGCATCACCCCTGTATTGCTTGTCCTGACTATCTGGGCGTTCAACAGAAGGAAATAAATTCGCCATCAAAGCTTGGTCCAGGGTATCAACACGTAAGCACTAAAATGCGGTTTTGCTAGTGAGAAACACCTCATGAAGATGCATTTTATTCCTTCTCCCCCAAATGATGTCAGGAGCACAAGGGAAGTCCGCTGTAACCTGTTGTGCCTTTGGAAAACCTGGAGATTGACGGAGCTCATTTTCGACCTGAAGGTAATATAGTGGGCACCTTAGAGAGCTGGCAGCAAGCATCACTAAAGGTCACATTCAGAAGAAGAGAAAAGTGCCTCTGTGTTTGTCAATGTCTGTCACAGGTGAAAAAAAAAGATAGTTAATGAGATCTTCCTAGTGGTGAATTCTCAACCTGGCTGACATTGGCAGTGACTTTTTTATTTTTTAATTTTTTTTGTCCTTGCTCCTTATTTTAAATGCAGACGTTGAGATGGCTTTAAGGGCCTCTGAGAAGATGTTGCTGTTGCCTCTGCTGTTTCCTGGGATCATGGTGGAGAGGGGGATGAGAGCATTTCACAGAAACTGATGAACCTAGTTTAGAGCCCTTTTTACCTAATGAATGAAATTCCCATAATTTAACAGATCATTTCTTACTAGGCTTTAAAAAACAAAATCATCACTAAGCCTTGTAGTTTGTTCAGACTTCTACCAAAAAAGTAAACATGGACTGATGTCTGCTCTATCTGGCCTTCTTTTTAAGGGACACCCTCAGACAGAAAAAGTAAAATTTCCAAGGCGGGTGGGGGGGCATAGCCACCCAAATTCTAACTCTATCAATTTTTAAAATAGCATCCATTAAATTTTTAAATTAGAAGAGTTACATCTAACTATTGGAGAACATCTCAAAATTGAAGAAAAAAACTACACAATGTAGGTATAATCCCACCACTCAGAGAAACTATTTTTTCTGTGCATATAAGAGCTATTTATTTAATCTCCGTAAGATCATAGCATACATTTTGTGTAGCCAGTTTCTTTTTGCTAGTTAAAATAATTTGAATATTTTATTCACTAATTACTCTTTCACGACATGACTTAAATATATATATGTATGTATATATGAGCACATTGCTTTTTTATGTCAGTAGCTTTTATATCAATATACTAGAATATACTAACATCTTACAAAGGAGTATCCAGTTTTTATGTGTTTTCTTATAGAAGAAAAGTAAACAATGTGACTGGACCCCCAAACCAAAACAAAACCAAACCAACATTACAGAAAGCTTTTTGTTCTCTGCTACAGGAGTTGAAAGAAAGTGTACGAATTTGATTTCTACCAACTGATTTCTGAGTGGGCTGTTTATCTCCCTAAACTCTGAAAGGGTGTGTCTGTGTTTCCCTTTGGAGCAGATTCTACTGTGCAGTGAAAATGCTGTGTACTTGAATTGGCTCCAACCAAACACAGTGTCTCTAAAAAAAAAAGGCACTCAGGAAAGGCACACACACTTGCTAAACCAAGCATACCCCAACCTCCTGCCTTTGCCCTCAGATTCTTGGCACAGGTCATTTGGATGCACCCAATGTACATTTTCTGTCTCAGTGATCCCACCTACCAAGGGAAATACACTTAGACTGCTTCATTATTAAAACATTCTAAAAAAAACCCCCAAGATGGGGAAGTGGGCACTGATATAGACACTTTTTCCCTGGCCAAGTGTTTTGCTGAACTGATGAGTTTTCAATTCTCCTTTTAAGGGCATTGGAGGGCACTTCATATGCTCTGTGCCAATCCAGTTCATGGAAATTAAGACTTAAAAAAAAAAAAATCAGCATCACCTTTGGGGTCTGGATGAATGCCCTCCTAAAACATTTTTTGGCCTGTCTAAAAGTGCAATTTCTAGAATAATCAGATATACAACCCCTTAAAAAGTCCTCCTTAATTTTGTACTTGTGTTTCCTTCTATGTGATGATAAAAGAGAAAGAAAAACGACAACTTACTTTCATGGCAAACTGGATACAAGTCCGTTCGTCAACTTGATAGGAGACACAAAGCATAAACAAACCAAGATAGGCCACTAAGCAGACCTGCAATGGAGAACAGGGAGGAAAGGTTGTTATCAAGGAAAGCCGTGCATTCTAATGACATCAATCTCAGTGTCTTTCACCAGTAACATCCTTGTTATCAAGGTGCTCATTTCATTTGCTTATCTTTATGTGCTATTTTTTCTCAGCTTGTGGAACAGAGTTTTAAAAATAGGAAAATCAATTTATTTCAATTTAGCCAGTATTTATTAAGTCCTTTTGATGTGCCAGGTGCTGTAGAAGGTCCTTCAGCGAATACAATGATGAACAAAATTTCCTCAACCTCAGTAACTGTACGGTCCAGGCCAGGCCACGATAAGCGCACACACTATTCTACAGCAGGGCATTCTGTGTCAAATGCTATTCAGAGAAGTACAAAAAGAAGAAAAAAATAACATTGAATTGGGCAATTAAAAAAGCCTTCTCTAAAGAGGTGGATTTGAAATGGTCCTTGAAAGGGATGATGATAATAATAATGATCACTACCAGTTACTGAATACTTACCTTGTGCTTGGGCTCTTCTAAGGCCTTTTGTATGGATTTCTTCAAGTAATCAGCACAAAACCCTATGAAGTAGGTGCTATTATGATCCTCACATTATAAGTGAGGAAACAGAAGCACAAAGCTAGTAAATGATGGAACCCACCCTCAAACCAGGTAGCTTGGGTGAAACAGTACGAGCGCAGGCGGATGCAGGACTGTGTGTGGAAAGAATAGCAAACGTGTATCTACAGTTGAAATAATAAAATATAGAGCAGAAAATGTAGGTGGAAAGTCTGGGGATGTAGAACTGATTTAGGAAGTAGTGGAGTTCCCTTGAACATTTCTGAGCAGGGGAATGACATGATTCAAGACACGTTTCTGGAAAATGAGCAGTGGTGTTGGGTGGGTTGCCGGTGAGAATACCAGAATCTTATTTTACTAATCTAAGCAAGATTAATCTATCAGGTGAGCCAGAGCTCAGAGGGTGGTGGACGAAGTCAGAGAAAGAGGTGAGAGGAAAGGTGCAGTAAAAGTAAAATGTATACATCTTGGCTATTGCATGACCAGTGGGAGGACACTGGAGTGGGAGAAATAGAAAGCCATCTCCAAGTTCTTGAGTGTCAGTGACAGAAAGAGTGGGGGTGGGGGGTGCAACAGACCCAAAGAAGGCTGGCAGGAGGCATGGCAACTTTGAGGGAAAACATACTCAATTTTTAAAACAGTTTTTTAAACCGAAGTGTAGTTAATTTACAATGTTGCGTTAGCTTCAGGTGTACAGCAAAGTGATTCGGTTATTTATATATATATTTAGGTTCTTTTCCATTATAGATTATTACAAGACATTGAATATAGTTCCCTATGTGATACAATAGGTCCTTGTTGTTTACCTACTTTATATACAGTAGTGTGTATCTGCTAATCCCAAACTCCTAGTTTATCTACCACCCCACCCCCCGCTATCCCCTCTGGTAACCATAAGTTTGTTTTCTATGTCTGTGAGTCTATTTCTGGTTTGTAAATAAGTTCATTTATATCATTTTTAAGAGTCCACATATAAGTGATATCATATGATATTTCGCTTTCTCTGTCTGACTTACTTCACTTAATGTGATAATCTCTAGGTCCATCCATGTTGTTGCAAATGACATTATTTCATTCCGTTTTATGGCTGAATAACGTTCCATTATATATATATATATATATATATATATACATATATATATATATATATCCAGAGAAAACACTAATTCGAAAAAATACACGCACCCCAATGTTCATAGCAGCACTATTTACAATGGCCAAGACATGGAAGCAACCTAAGTGTCCAGCGACAGATGAATGGATAAAGAAGATGTGGTATATAAAACCTACTTGATTTGATTTTTTTTAGTGCATTGGAGTTTCTTAAACTGTGATTTAGAGTTTCTAATCAAAGCATACCTATTTACACTCAACTTTGGAAACCTTAAAAGGTTGCTAAGTTCTACTTTAGGATGAAAAACATAAGCAACAGAATTGCATTTTCTGATAAGCACAATATTCCTAGAGACAATGTTGGAAGGGTGGCTGAGAGTCACCCAGCAAGTCATTAGATGGCTGGTTTGGTGATACTCATAACTCCTATCCCCAGGGCCAGCTTTGAACCTCGGACCTGCTAGGGTGGTAGAGCTGTTTATTTACAAAGCCAACACAACATTTTAACGTAGCACCTCTATCCTATTCTCCCCTTGATTACAAAATCAATAAGTGGCTTGTGCCCTCACTGGTTCCCAAGTTGCAGGTTTAGGTTTCCACTGGACTGTGAAGACAAAAGCCAAGCCTTCCTTGAGTACAGGCTGTTTTCAGGGTTTTCCACCATTAGGACAGGCTGATGGTTAAAAGCAGAGATGACATTCCTAGTTCAACAGATACAGCGTGGGCTGGAGAGGGCTGGGTAGAAAACAAAGCAGATAGGACCCACAGAGACAGCTTTTCAGCAGAGCACGGGCAGATGTGGAGGTAATGACACTGAAGTTGTTTGTGTAACCCACAACGTGGCCATATTTCCAAGGCAGGGATGAAGTTCCTTTTCAAAACTCTTTTAAAAATATACCTAAAAAAATATATCTAATTGAGGTATAAGTTTGATAAGGCCTGTAATGGCTTACTATGTATTTTCAAATTAAGAATTTTCAGAGCTAGGGACTCCCCAGTGGTAAAGAATCCACCTTCCAATTCAGGGGATGTGGGTTCGATCCCTGGTCAGGGAACTAAGATCCCACGTGCTGCAGGGCAACTAAGCCTGCACACCACAACTACTGAGCTTGCGCGCCTCAACGAGAGAGCCCACGTGCCACAAACTACAGAGCCCACACACTCTGGAACCCACGAGCCACAACTAGAGAGAGAAAACCTGCCCGCCACAACTAGAGAGAAGCCTGCACACCACAACAGAGTCCACGCCGCAACGAAAAGATCCCACGTGTCTCAACGAAGACCCCTCGAGCTGCAACTAAGACCCGAAGCAGCCAAAAATATAAAGAAAATAAATAAGTAAAATTTTTAAAATGCTTTAAAAAAAAGAATTTGAAGAACTAAAACAATGGAAGAAAGACCTTTTCTTTTTTGTTTATTGGCAAGAAACCCAATGGAAGCTTCTAAACTTGCTTGTGGGGATGGTTAGATCCCTAAGTACGTGCCTGGGCTCACTTAT